AGTACATTGGCTTTGTAAACTCATGGGGAGAAGAATTATTTCATATAATTGAAAATCTGTGGATGAGTTCTAAGTAAAATTATCTTCAAGAGATTAGTTTTCAGTGAACAATTGGTTCTAATGTGCCTTCAAGATAGTTCCAACTCAACCACCCGGTGTGTAACAGAATGAAACGCCGCGTGTCCCTCTGCCATCATCAAAACCATTGTTAGGGTTTAGCCCATTGTTGTAGGACTGCGTCCACCAATTTCTATCAGGGTCTACCACTTTCTCAGTGACCCGCAGTGAGCACATCCATGGGTTGTTTATTGGAAAAAGGGAGCCAACGTTGGCTTAAGTTGTACTATGTTTCAGGTTTTAGTAAATATTTCTGTCAAAATTTTAGAAATTTTGCTTACTTTAGTAATCTCAACTTTTTGAAATATATTCCTCTGTTTTAATGGTGGGGGCGGGGATTGAAATTCAGAAAATTCCTTACTCAAGTTCCTATATCTAATCTGCTATACCAAATTGTTTTTCATTTTGGACATTACATCACTGTATTATGCCTATCTTATGGCCTACCCTTTTACTATTATCTCTAATCCACCTTCAAATGGATTTCCACACATGCAGTCAGACACCTAGGTTCCATTTGCTATCTCCATGACCCCCATTTTAAAAGTTTATCTAGAGTAAATGCTTGTTAGGCTTCATTTCAGTAAGTTGTGAACAACTGTCTGTCAACTCTTAGTACAGGCCTACCGAAGTCACATATGCTTTTATAAAGAAATGCAGTCAATATTTGACACAGAAATAGCTAATGGAGAATTAAATACATACTGGTAGTGCCTGTGGTATCAGTACTTTGCCTCAAAGAGGTTATTCTGATATTTAAAATGGTATTGATGACTTCTAAACATATATAAAACAGCCTCAATTATTATTAAGGAATATCAGCATGATGTTGCTCGCTATATCAGGCCAAGGAAATGCGAGGAAAGAGAAGTCTGTCTGCTCCCAGGAAGGTTACAGCCTGAGAAAGCTTAGCTACAGTGGCTGTGTGTCTCAATGGATGCCAAGGCAAAGGATTTCATTTTGCATTTTTGTTGGATTTTGAAATTGATAATGCAAACAACAATATTCTGTGATTTTCCAAATACCTTCAAATGTTTTATTAGAACTTGAAACTCACTAGACTCAGGTATGTATTCCTATTTTCTAATTTTAAAGAAAACCAGCAAGCAACCTGAGAAGTGAAATCCTGAGAGTAAAAGACCTTCCCCCAGGTGCTGATATGGCGAATAGCAGAGCTAGGCCTCCTAGATCCATGTCTGCTTCCTTCTGGACAGGTTACTCCTGATCTAAGGTCATTTGTTCACTGCAATTGGAAAGGGAAGGTGAGAAAATCATGCCTTTTATTATGCCTTTGAAATGGTCAAAACAATTAATGATTTTCCATGGTTATAATTAATTGTTTTGATTCAATTTGTTCCTAAGAAGGCAGAGAAACCGCATTAAAATGTACTCAAATAAGCGGTTCGTGTCTTTGTTTTCTATATAAAGGACTAATGAGTATGAAGTTGAATCCAAATGGAGTAATTTAGATTAGATGTATTCTTTGAAATTACAGAATGAAAGTCTCCGGAGATTCAGAGGTGAATTTTAAGCAAAGCCCATGAATTTTAAGCAAAATACTCAAATTGAATCAGGCTGACTGCTGGTCATGTTGATTCCAACAAGCGGGGATGCCCCACTGCTTCTGAGGATGGAAACTGGAGCAAAGTACACTGCCTCTTCTTTCCATTCCAATGTTTTTTAACACTGGAAAAAGGTCTTTTTGTAGCATATTTACCAATTAAATATGTTGTTCAGTTTGCTGATTTGGATTCTTTGGGCATGGAAACATATTAAAATATAAATAAAAATTAAGAAAGATAACTATTCAAATATAGATATTCATCCAAATAAGATATATACACACACACACATCTATAGAGATTTTAGACCTCTTGGACTCTTGATTTTCTCATTACCTCATAGCTTTCAAGCTAGATCAAAGCAAAGATTTTTTTCCCTAATGATCAGATGCTACTTTTCTTCCACTACACTGAGTACTCAAGGCAGTTGCCTCTCACAAAGAATTCAGGAGGCTGTAGGTGAAGTGTTCCTCAGAGGATAAAATGATGACAGAGTCCTGCTTTCTGCCACACAATAGTGTGAGCAAAGGACAACAAAGTAGTGTAAATATTAAGATGGCAACTCATTTGATCAGACTTCAAGAGTATAAAAACCTTCAAGAGTAGAAACATTGACAACCAGGTATCTAAATGTGCAGGCCAATGATATGGTTAAATGACTGAGGACTTGGGAAAGCAGTAAATTTGGGTAAATAATTGAACAACCACCCAAGTCCATTCAGCACCTATCTCTGGTAGACAGAACTGGTTTGAAAAACATAATTACACTTGCAATGAATGGGATTGCAGTCTTCTTTAAATCATCATTTTTATTTTGATTTTATCTTTCAAATTTCTTTGGAAGAGACTATAGATAATATAAATAGGACTTGAAAATAGTAATAAGAGAGTGGATATGGCTGTTAGGAGCCATAGAGTCTTTTCCAACTCACCGTGGCCCTCTGCTCAGCAGAAGGAAACATTGCCCAGTCCTGTGCCTTCTTAACAAGCTTTGCAATCTGTGAGCCCATTGTTTCAGGCTCTGTCTTGCATCCCCATCTTGTTGGGAGTCTTTAAAGGAGTATTTCATAGGAAATAGTAAAAGATCACACTGTTTCTAATATTTTTTAGTTATTGAATTTTTATATCAGATTCAACTTATACACAAATTTTATAAAATTACTGATAAGATCTTGAGAGATCTATTAGTGAATATTGTCAGTGCAATCTTGATACATTAATCTATTGTCCTCAGAAACCTTTTTCAAATAAGTAGCCGAGGGTACAATCCCTCTAATTAGTTGAGGAACATAATTATTCTTCAAACTTTTCTTCCAATAACTCTCCTAGACAAAGCCACCCCAAACAATGACTATCCACACAATCAGTGTGTACATTGATTAATACTGTGAAAGTATAAAATGCTAACTCACACCTTTCCTTTAAATCCTGTAGTATTCCCTAGTTTTGAGTCAAATGCCTCTTGACTCATGTACAGGTTCTGTATGAACACAGTGTTTTTCCAACTATTCTTCCTTTTTTATTTCCAACCACCAATATTTATTAATTCACCTTGATTTCATGTTTTATCCATTTTGTACTGCAGAACTTGGTTAAATCTTCAATTTCTTCACCATTAGTGGTTAGAAGAAATTTTAATTATAGACATATTAACTGGTTTTCCTTATAGATACATGGTTCTTAATGAGTCTTGGTAGTGTATCAGTTATGCATTGAGCTGCAGTCCTCATGATCAGTAGTTCAAAAACACCAACTGTTTTGAGGGAGATAGGCAGAACTTCCTATTCCCATAAAGACTCATGATCTCAAAAACCAAAAGGGCAGTTCTACCCTGTCCTATAGGGTCTCTTTAGATGGCCTCCACTCAAGAGCAATGAGTAAGTGAGTGTAAGTAATATGGTTATTATACTCTCAGTGTAGTATTGCAATAAGTATTAAAATGTTTTTTTGACAATGACTGTGAATCCATTATTTAATATTTATTTCCAGTGGAGTAGATCATATTATTTGCTTCAAAATGGCCAATACTCATCCATTTCAGCCCAAGCATGCCTAAGATAGATATGTTGAAATGTTTAATTTCATTTTTGCAATTTCCAATTTTTCTATACTCATGTTTCACATTCTATATTCAGGTAATTAATACTTATAGCTATTTTTCCGCCTTTTAAATTGTGCCACATCATCACATGAGGTCCTGCGCGGTTTGGTTTATCTGACTCTTACTTTGGAGGGGATTCTAATTGAAGGAGGCAGCTCTTCCTTCGTTGTACTTTTAGTCCCTTACCACCCGAGGCACTCTTCTTGCAGTGCCCATCCAGAGGATGCTTTGCTGTCGTTCACGAGTTGTCCATTCATCAATTGTTTAAGTAGATGACCACGCTCTTCTTAGACTCTCTTCGCTTAGAGACTGCTGACGCCTATCTCTTGGGTTGTTCTGCTAACTTGAAATACCAGGGAGATGACTTCTAGCATCACAATAGAATGCCTGCTACCACAGGTGACAGATGGACAAGGGAGTAGTATAAACTCACTGTATCCACTATTATGTGACAGCTGACTTACTGGACAAAGAACATGTGCTTTAATCCTTTCAGTATTTGGTTTAGATATTTAAGTCAATCAGGAATACTCTACAGATAATACAGATTATATAATTTTTTTCATAGTGGAATTTCTAACACACCACTATTGATGAATTAGAAAGCACAGGTAACATTGGAACATAAAAATTTGCTCTAAATTTTAAAATGCATGTCTATTTCTTTTAGAACTCCTGGAGGAAAAACTACATTTTACCCTATTACTCTGCTTCTATACAACAATGTCATTCTCTTTCCTCAGGACATTTTATTCTTTGGATTAAGAAAATATATTCAAATTTGCTTTAGGCAGCATGGCTTTATAATTCGTGTATTATAAGAATAAGTAAACTTAATTAATCTAAAATAAAAGCATAAAATATGATCATATAATCTGAAAGGATGCAAATTTAAACATGATGTATCTAAAAGTTTCATAGTAAATAACTATCATCATTGCTCATAGGCATATTACACTAATAATTTAGACATATAGTTTCCTTATATTTGTATTTACTTTAATGACTATGATAATCTCAAACATTCTTTATTTTTATTATCTTTTTAGAAACATTAACAATCAGTTGGTTAATTAAATGCACCATCCCTAAAATTAAATTTTTAAAATGACTATACAAAATAATTTAATGCCTGACATGTTTTAGGGGTTAAATATATTTCATTAATCATGCCTGAAAATTCTGTTTTATTAAAATCTAGTAACATTTTTAAGGCATGCATACTTACCTGGCAGGGGAGATACCATGATCACAAAGGTGGTTTTCCCAAGGCAAGGCATATCCATTGCACTCCGGATGTGCTGACCCTGTGATTTCCCCAAATGTGGGAAACTCGACTGCATGATTTGTGGTAATGGGTGACTGCATTCACCCTCTCCCCTGTAAAAAAAAGAAAATTCTAAGGCATGGACAACATCCTGGATGTTTGTTAAGTATGTGTCATTCTTCTAACTGTGCTTCTGTATCTGCCTTGATACAGTTATCTGCAATGTATAAATTCTATGATGTTATCTACAATATTAAAATGAAATCTACATGCTTGTTGAGGTGGGAGTACCAAGGAAATAGTATATACTCAATAATTACCTTATATATTATGTATTTCAGATATTTTACATATATAAATTTATTTAACCCTAATTCATAATAATCCTAGCCTCTTTATTTGGATAAAACATTGGAAACGTGGGGATGTATAATTATTCATGCTCCAGCCAATTTTAGCACCTAATTTCCTCCACAATAAACAACTATACAACTTTAAAATTTCTAAGATCCCTTTGGTAATGGATAATATATTCCTTTGCATCCCAATCTATGGTTGGCCAATTCTCTGCAGTTTTTGTGTTTTCTAAGTCTGATGATGCACTAATTTATTCTGTAAACTCTCAATAATAAGAAAGTACATCTTATAACTCCTGTAAATTATTAATAGTGTTTAAAGAATGGACCAATAAATTCTGGTAGTAGTCAGATAATGAATATTAATAGCAATGCTCTTTTCCTTCACATATGTATTAAAATTTCTGCAGGCACATTTTCTTTTTTTTTTTTTAATTGTAATTATTTTATTGGGGGTTCATACAATTCTTTTTTTTTTAAACATTTTATTAGGGGCTCATACAACTGTTATCACAATCCATACACACATTTTGTACATCATTCTCAAAACATTTTCTCTCCACTTAAACCCCCGACATTAGGT